GTTAAGTTTAGATTAAGTTTATATTAAGTTTAAGTTAGATTTAGATTAGGTTTAAGTTAAACTAAATATTATAGGATGTAATATATCACACTCATATAATGTTTAGCTTTACCTAAATCTAACCTAAACCTAGTGTTGCAATATATTTTTGAGAGAGCTTATATATATATAAAATTTAGCAAAGAATTTTTTGTTAGAGTGTTTAAATAGGTAACTCACAGATGGGTTGTAGATATGACAGCATAGTGTAGAACCAACAGAAGTCAATTGTCTGTATAGCGAACTACTTAAAATAGATAATAACTAAAGTTGTATATGTAATTTGTTGTATACTTATTATGCAATTATAAAACTATAGGAGATTACTACTATGATAATTTCATGATAACAAATTAATAAAATCCAATTAGCCAAGGAGGCAGCCTTAATAACAAAAAAAGAAAAAAATATAAGAACAATTATTACTTTTGTAAAACTAGAAATAATTCTTTTATAATTAGTTCAAGAAAGTAAGTATAATAAAAACTTCTATCTTTTCTATTTTTTTAATTCAACCTTTTATCTCTTTAATATTTTTCATGACTAATATTACTCTTTTTGTAGGTTCTGATTATTATCACTTCTTATAGCATACGAATATAGCCAAGACAAATTTATTTTATTTTTTATTTTTTTTTTATACAAGTACTCTATTTTACTAATTGCATTTTTTTTATTTTGGTTAATGCATATGTTATTATTAGAAGATCATTACAATACTTAGCAGAATCTCTTTTATTTACTATTATAAGAAAAGCTAGAAGTCGATCTAGCACTAAACCTAAAACAAAAAAGGTATTCTTATATATAATTGTCTAATCTATCTATTTAGTCACAGTAGTATATCCACCTAGTACACTTTCTGAATATGAGACACAATATATATTTTATAAAAAATAATATTTTATATAAATTTTGCAACTTTTATTAGTTTCATTACTTTTTAGTAGTTTCATCACTTTTTTTAGTTTGTCAACTTTTATTAGTTTTATTACTTTTTACTAATTTTGTCATCTTTTGTTAGTTTTATCAGAATTTTTTTGATGAAAGTTGAAACTAGGTTTCATCTTTCATTATAGTGAAACATCCTAGGTTTCGTCTAATATCTATAGTGTGAATAAAATAAATTGAGAAAAAATATTTACAGTGTATTACGAATAAAATAGATTAATAAGAATATATATATATTGAGTATGTGTATAGATTAACTATTCAGTATAGTATAATAAAATTTATTAGCATATACTCATGTGATTTTGCATATAATTATCACTGTACTATCAGTATTAGTATATTATACTATAAATATCTATTATGTAGTATAAGGAGAACTTTATTAAATATGCTGATATAATTCTTTTTTTTTTTTTTTACTTACGTAAAATAATAAAAATCCTTTAATCTTATATGGATAACATTAAGAAAGAAAAAAGTTTTAGTTCAAGTTTTTACAAAGAAGTAATTGATTTAACAATTGATTCTTCTTCAGAAAGTAATTTTTCAACTATTGAATTAGATGACCTGGAAATTAATATAATGGTAAATTGCTATAATTATATATGTAGCATGAACCTTTTTTGGTTAATTATTAATTTAACTAGCATGAACCTTTTTGGTTAATTATCAATTTAACAATAGAATATAGAGGATATTCGATCAATTAAAAATACTACAGATGATGAAAGTTTTTTTGAAATGCCAATAATTAATTATTTTACATAAGAACTTGCTATAAGAGATACCCAATTTTCAGCTATTCAAATTGAATATCTAGCAACTTCTAATGAAGGAGTTGCTTATGTTTTTAATATAAAACTATCCGATCCAATTGCTCTATTTAATGATGTAAATATTTTTTTTTTTGTATTATTTAATCATTTAATTTTTATTCAATATTAGCTTTTTTTAGATCCAATACTCAATGGAAGGTAGTGGGGTTCTAACAAAATCAATTGCCTCTATCTTAATTGTTGTGTAAAAAAAGTTGTTCGCAAATGTACTGGTATTAAAATTTGTGAATATACTGAAAATGAAATTAGAAATTCATCACATTGTGAGGTTGATAAAATAAAGACTTTTTTATGATAAATCAATCTAGTGAACTACAAACATCTATAGAAGCTCAGACATATGCGTAAATAATAAAATTTATTATTTTTTTATTAAATTATTTTATTTATTATATTACTTATTAATTAATTTATTATTTATTTATTTAGTAAATATGTTTCATTTACAAATATTTCTTGTCCATATAACAATAATAATTGCTCTAGTCATCCTATGATTTGTCAATTAGGAAGAAAAAATGACAATGATCCTGTAACAAAATTTATAGGATGTTCAAAATAGAATCCTCATGAAAAACATATATTTCATATATTAAATAAAAATCAAATCAATATTAATTTACTTGAAAAACTTTTTCAAGGAAAAGAGGTAATTAATTAAAAATATATATTATAGTATTATAAAAGTTATTTTATATTAAATAACTAATTATTTTTTATAGAATATTAAAAATCAAATTTTACAAACTTGTAAAACTGTTCTATCAATATCATCACGCTTACAATATTGTAGTAAATATTAAACTAAACTTTTATTAAATATATATTAAATAAATTTTTATTTATTGATAGTATATTAAATTAAATTATTTATTTAATTATAAAATTTATAATTTATATTAAGTATAATTTATTTTAATTTAGAGTTTTATCATCCAGGTAAAAATAATACTATTAGTTGTCATGGAAAGATTATTCATCTACAGTGTCAAGTTAATTTTATAAAATTAATTTCACATAATCTTGATGAATGTCTATTTGTGGTTTTAATTTGACGTAGAATTTATAATCATCCACCACCTCCACTATCAAAAGTTCCAACAAGTATCCAATATCAATTTAATTCTTTATTAGAAAATACTTCTAATGAATATGAAAATATAATATTACAAAAGATTTTATCTAGTATATTTAATTATATTTATTTAATTTAATTTTTTTTTAATCAAATATTAATTAAATTTATATAATTATTAGGAAATATATTAAAAGCTACTTTTGGAAAAGAATTTTTTTCTGAAATACATAGTTCTTTAAATAATATTGACTATTTAAGATATCTTATTAACAAATATCAAAGAAAAAAACATCTATATAGACAAGGTATCTTAAGTTTAGTTTACAATATGTGGCAAGAAAATAATGAATTCTCTGACTATCTTCAAGAAATTGGTAATATATATTATATTTATTATATTTTATTTATTTATTTATATTATATTTAAAAAAAAAAAACTTTATTTATTTTTAAGAACTTTTGAGGATGGTGGTATTATAGTTATTTGTATGTCAAAACAACAAGCTTTACAATGGTTAACAGTTGAATAGTTTCAAATTGATCTTTCATATAAGCATGTTCATAGTGAAATAAAAGAATTTGAAGTTAATTATTATTCTGAGCAATATAATCAAGGTATTTATTAAAGTTAATTAAATATTTATATTTTATTTTATTTATTATTAATTATATATATTTATTATAGCACTTACATTTGCTAGAGTTTTTATTAATATTTGCAATACAAATACATATTGTAAAATATTTAAATTGCTATTTCACTATATTAAAAAACTAACTGATCAATTACCAACATTTTATCATATTCATAACTCTGGATGGAAATGTATAATTAGTGATTTAGATCAAGGTCAAGCTAAAGGTCTTGGATTATGTTAAGAGAAAATTGATAATTCAAAAAATTGGGAAGAATATCTTCAAGCAATATTTAAAACATGTTTAATACATTTTAATAGGTAAAATTTAATAAAATTTTATTTAATTTATTAATTATTTTTTAATTCTACTTATTATTTATTTTTATTTTAGAAATAGAAAATTACTATTTATCAACACTGGTGATCATTACCAGAATTTTGTGTATAACATATAAATCAATAACGATAAACCAAAAAAAAAAAAATTAATTTCATATACTTTAGGGTTAGGTCGAAGCCTAAGATTTTATCTAGGCATTAAAATATATGTAAAATTTAGCAAGAAATTTTTTTTGTTAATACATCGGAGGTGGTTTCATAAGCGAATTTTTGAGATATGAGCATTTTTTTAAAAAAAAATTGATTTACACATTACACCTGATCCTACAAATTTATTGGCTAATTTCATACTGGTAATAATCACCAGTGGCGATAAATAGCAAACTCCTTAGAAATATTAAAAATAACAATTATTCTAATAAAGTAAAAAATTTAATGTACAAATTAGTACAATGTGAAAATCAAAATGAAGTAAATGATCTTTTTTTACAAATTACAAATTTAAACTTTAATACTCGAGGTAAATAAATAATTTTTAATTAAAAATAATTATTATTTATTTATTTAAATATTAATAAATTTATTTTTTAGATTGAGTTGAATTTTACAGTAAAAATTGGGTTTTAGTATCATTAAATCCAATATATTCTCAAATTTCACTTGAAACTTCGTACTCTACTCCTAATAATACAAATGTTTCTGAAAGTTGTCATACTAAAATTAATAGATATAGAATAAATCTTAACTTAAGAATTGCTATTAAAAGGTAATTTATTTTTTTTTGAAATTTCAACCCGTAGGTTAAGGTGAGGTCTTGCCTCTATCTTTATTGGGTAAAATATAGTTAAGAGTTTATACAAAACTACTTGATAATAATTTAC